TGAAAACTACATGTGTCCAAAAATTAGGTATCCATAAGGATTTCATTCATTTGTTATTAATAAATCTTTATTGAGCACAGGCTATGTGCCAAGCACTGCCCTAAATCCTCCATAAACAAAACAAAATAAACAATAAAATAAACAAAAAAGTCCTGCCCTCACAGAGGTTACATTATATGTGTGGTTGGGGGCAGAGAGAAGAAATAATAAACTCAACCAAACACAATTTATATAGTTTGTTGGAAGGTGACAAGTGCTATGGAGAAAATAGAGCAAGATACAGATTATAAGTAGGGGAATGTAGCTCTAAATAAAACATTAAAGTAAGATAGACCTTTTGAAAAACATTTGAAAAGCACAGATTTATAGGAGGCATGAGAGTCAGCCATGCAAATATCTTAAGGAAAAAGTGGTCCAAGGAGGGGCAGCAACCAGTATAAAGAACCTTAGACAGTCCCTGGATCTGGAGGGAATTAAGCAGAGACAGAGTAGCTGCTAAATTAAGAGAGGTAAGGGATGACAGGAAAGAAGTACCCAACTTCTGAAAGGCCTTGTGGGCCATAAGGAGTGCGGCTTTTACTCTGCATATGGAAAGTCACTGCAGGTTTTGAGAGATAAGTGGTATGATCTGGTTATTATGTTAAAAAAGACTATAGGGAGCTAGGATAGAAGCAGGGAGACCAGTTAGGAGACTAACTGCAGAAATCTAAGCAAGAGATAAGAATGACTTGGACCAGCCTAGTGAGCAGTGGAGGAGGTAGAAGTGATTTAATTCTGAATATATTTTCAAGATGAGACAGAGCCAAGAATGCCGGGTGTGAAAGAGGTAAGTCAGGGATGACTCCAACAGGTTTTTTGCCTGAATGTTGGTTGGAGCAGCCATCAGATGAGATAAATTAGACTGTATCTGAGGCAGGTTTAAAAAGGAAAATGGAAGTTTAGTTTAACTATAGTAACATATAACAGACTAATTTGGGCAAGGGGGTGTCTGCTGAAACCAAAAGTCCGTTATATAATTAGGATTTCCAAATGTGTATGTTAAAAAATTGACCAATTTGTTAACTGTTTTTACTTATGTAGACACATCTGTGTAATTAAAATTAAGTACGTATGAAAGTTTAATTCCACAGAAAAGTTTTCTACTTTTGGATGAGATCACTAGGGAAGTATTAGAGGAATTTTAAATGTATACTGAATAGGTCTAGCAAAGGATGTACTCACCATCACCTCGAGTAAACAAACACCCACAGCTGGGGCACAACTTAGTGAATGAGGGAACGTGGGTGACACAAGTTAAAACTGCTACAGAAAAGTCATGGCAAGAGACAAAAGAAGCAATTATCACCAGCGATGCAGTGAGATCACGTGTTAATCATTTGCCGAACACTGGAGTGACTCCTGGATTTAAATATGTAGACTATAATTGTAGATATGTAATATTTATTTATTTGGTGAAATTACTACAGTGTTTTTTCTAACATATGGCCTACTCACTAAAATTTGTTTAAAATAACAGTGAAATAATAACCAAAAAACAACAACAACAAAACCTGTTCACTTAATTTTGAGCAAATGTTGGTTAAAAGCATTTAAAAATGAACAGGGTATTGCCCTGGCCGGTTTGGCTCAGCGGTTGGAGCGTCGGCCTGCGGTACAGAGAAAAATGAACAGGGTATTAATTTTCACATATGATCTATAGATGCAAAATTTTGTCCATTAAATCCAAAGTCCATTATATTTAGGTCCACAAGATCAAGGATTTACTGTATTTAACATCCAAGTGGAAATGTCTAACAGATTGTCTAGAGTGTAGGAGGGAAGTTTGAACTGGAGATATAAATATGATAGCTATCAGCATATAGGTATTTAAAGCCAGGACATTAAATGAGATCACCAGGGAAGCATTAAAAAAAAAAAGTAAACCAAGTACTAAACATTTCAACCTCAAGAACAGAGGATGAATCATAAAGACAGTATGAGCAAAGCAATTAGTAAGAAGAGAAACCCAAAAAGCAATGCCCTGAAAGGAGTGGAGTATAAACAGTTAGTTGAACTTAGTGTACAAATCACTTTGCTGAAACCATATTTAGGTTAAGGAAAAAAATTCTTAATCAGCCCATAGTAATTAAGGTGTTATGTAAAATACTAAATCACAACTTTTTAAAGAGTTGAACATTTCTTACACATCTCCTAGGAATACTATATTTCCTATTGGAGTCTCTACTAAAAGTATTCTTAGTACTAAAAGTGTATTTTGCCTAGCTTATCTTTTAATATAAAACCAATTAAAAAAAATAGTCTAAATGATTCACACTACCATCACTCTCAAAGACCAAAAAAAATTTAAACACCAATTTAAAAGTCTGCCATGCAAACAGTTATAAATTGTCATTACTTCTCTTTTTCTAGAACTCAGATATATAAGGCTAAGTTAACTAAACTCTTTAGTTCATGGCACTCAAGGTTCCTCCTTTTCTGTTTAATTTTCTGTTTATAGAAAAAAAAAGGCTTATATTCTTATCTAAACCAACATGCTCACTGTGATTTTCACATAAACTACATTTTTAAGATCAGAACACCCAAAGTCATGTTCACAAAACTAAAAGAATGCAATGAAATTCAACTCTATGCATAAGAGTGATCACCCATGTCATTTCTAAAGAAACAGTTACTTGCTTATAGCCTCTATATACAGGCTGGATTTACCTTCAGAAAAACTAAAAACAAACAGTACACAGAACAAGCAGTTTATAAATTGTTATCTTCAAATAATTACAATGTTCTTATAAAGCATGGTCTGGCTACATTACCTTATAACATATTAGGTCAGATTCCTAGGAAACCCAAGCCTTCCATTGTTTAATTTTTATTAAAATTTAAATTTTTTACAAAGTACTGTGAAATCTTTTAGATTAAAACTTGTTTTGCTATAAAAAAAATAATACACATGCAATTATAAATACATCTTCGATATATTTCAAGTAAAATTCAAGTTAAGAACTTTATGATAGTAACAATCCTGAAACATTAGAAGCCAAGTGTTAAAAAAATCTTTCACTTAAGTCTTTTTGAAAAGCCATAGACTGTTATTTACCATCTAATTATTAAAATGTTCTCCCTACTAAAAGCAGATTAAAGCCTATAAACTAGGAGGTTTAGGATGAAAACCCCAAGAAAACACACCAAGCAGAAGAGATTACTGATGTTAAAGGGGGATATAGAAAAAATTAAATTGGAACCAAAATCATGTATTAATGGCTCTTCATAATGTTGACCCTGAGTCATCAAGGTTAAATACTACTCAAAATCCTTTATAATTTCAAAGTACTTGATACATTTAAGAAAATTTTTCATTAGGCTTTGTTATATTTTAAATTTCAGAATAAGTCTCAAAAAGGCAAAGTAAATAGATCACCTCATTCTCTAAGCTCACCTGAGAGTTAACTGTCGATGCTGCAAAATTAAAGAAACAATTCTAAAGTTAATGTTGGGAAAGGGAAGTAATTATTTTTTTCTTAGAACCTGCAAACAATAGGCCCTGCTATTTCTTGCTAAATCCTTGAACTAAAGGGGGTGGGGAGAGCCATTTCTGTCAGAGAACACAATATGAAAATCTATATAGCAAGGCATGTAGACTCAAAACATAGATCAAGAGTGTTCCACTGTTATTCTTGGGAGGATCATTCCAGTCTCATCAGCAACTGCTTTAGCCAAACTGGAGAGTGTTGCCAAGTGCCCACTAGGTGAGGTAGGGAGAACAAGTGCAATGTAATTAGAAAAGAACTCTAAACTCAAGTCAATTCCTACACAATTCAGTGTGTTTCGTTCACCATAAAGTGTTTATCTTTAGGAGGTTATGGGCGTCTAAAATTTTCAAAGCATCTTTAAAAAAATAAAAATAACAAACACAACTTTGAACAGTTAACTTCAACTGTAGCTTTTAAAGCAGTGCTTATTCTGATACCTGCTAAGGAATCCTTTTGTGGTACAGACCCATCTACCAACTTAGACCCCTTCCTCCCAGAAGCAATGGTTCAAGATTCAAAAGCCCAGCCTTTAACCTAATCAAGGTGCAGCTGGACGAGGTTGGGATGCCGCTGCCCGCGCCCGGGGCTGCCGGTCTCTGGTGCACACATGCTCCTTCCCGACCGACGTGCGGGGCTGGCTGCACAGCCCACGCCGGTATCTGATTACCAAAAGACTTTTCTAGGCGGCCAGCTAGGTTTTCTGCCCAGGTCCCCAACGCCAAAAATCTCATTGTTGAAAACCGAAGGGGGAGGGGGGACCCGTAAGGAAGACACACCCCTCAGGGAGAGGAAGGGATAACTTCCCCGGCCTCCAGGGCGGTCCACAGATTTTTCCAAACTCTCCCCTCCCGCGGCCCTCCCATCCACAACCGCCCCCCACCGAGACCCGGGACGCGCACAGGCGGTGGGAGGGGGCCCCGGGCCGGGGCGAGGGCCGGATCGCCAGTACCCGGGGGAGCGGCGAGGCCGAATTCCAGCATGGCGTAAGCGTGGCCCAGCTCCGGCCCAGGGACGCCGCCGGAGACGCGCTCCCTCCGTCCGCCCGCCGAGGAGGCGGTAATCCGCCTTCCCTCCCGGGGGCCCTGAGGCCCGGCTAAAAATAGGCGCCTGGGTCACCCCAGGGCCCTCTCCCGCCGACCTCGCTCTCCAGAGGCGTCCCCGGGGGAGTCCTCCGCCGAGCTCGGAGGCGCCGCGGCGATCTGGGGTCGGGCCCTGAGCGGCCCGCTGAGGCCGAGCGACCCTGGGAGCCCGCCCGCCGCGAAGTCCCTGCCGGAGCAAGAACCCGGCGGCGGGGACTCGGCGCCCGAGGCCTAACCGGCGGGCGGCTGCGGCGGGCGGTGTGCGGGCCCCGCGGCCGCGCCCCCCAACCGGTGCGGCCCTTCCGCCCGCCCTGGGACTCCGTGGCCGGCGCCGCCCTCGCCCCGCGGGCCCCGCGGCCGGCGCCCAAACCCGACACGGCCTGCTCGCCCTTACCCTGCGCGGCGGGAGAAGGAGACCGGGGAGACGCGGTGGCGCCGGCACTACAGCCCGAGCCGCCCGAGCCGCCCGATCCGAGGCGCTGCCGCCGCAGCAGTTGCTCAGGTGCCGTCGCACCGCCCGGCACGGGGCGGGGCGGCCCCGGCACGTCCCGGCGTCTGGGCTGGCGGTGCCCGGAGACCGGCCCCTTAAAGGGACAGGCACCCTCCGCCTCGGCCCCACGCGCTCCGGTAAGCCCCCGCGGCCGGCTGGCTCGGAATTCCGGGGCTTCCTCCCGAGATAACGTTCCGCAGCCAGGTGGAGGGGGACGCTCGAGAGCTGGAGGCTCGGCGGCACTTCCTCATTCACCAACCCTGCGCTCGCGCGCTCTGTCTCGTCTGTCTGTCTCTGTCTCTCCCTCGTCTGTCTGTCCGCTCTCTCTCTTTTCTTCCCCCGAAGCTGCTTTCGTCTTACAGGGCCCTCCCGCCAAAGCACCACCTGGCCCTCCACCCTGGATGATTTTTTTTTTTTTGTAACCTTAAGCAAAGGGTACTCAGTTTCACCTGCCCGCCCCCGATTCCTCTAATAGAAACCAAACCGAACCCTTCCTTTCCTCCGTCTGCAGAGTTTCTTTCTGAATTCTCCTTCAGGCAACCCTAGCTTCAAATGAAGAGAAAAAAAAGTTAAACCGGCCCAAATAAATTGTGTGCAAACATTATGGAGCTGTGTGTCTGCCAGCTGGTGGGCGTGCTTTCAGCAGAGGTAAGGAACTAGAGCTGCCGCGGGAAGGAAAGGTTGGCCCGCATCCATCCCTGCTTGCAAGTTAGCTCTTTGCTAAAGGATGGCAGCGATCTTCCAGGTCCACTGGTACATCAGATGTGTTGCTCAGCATTGCTTATGACTTGTCGGTCTCTCGCAGAATTCCAGGCACTGCCCTGGACGGTATACAAAACACTGCAAGGTCTCCTCAAAAGTTGTGAGAGCTCAAAATGATTCTAGTGCTTTGAGAGTGTGAAGAACTACATAAGATCAGAACTCATCACTAACAACACCTCCCCTTATATCCGGACAAAAAAGAAACAGGAGCAAATCTTTAAGGGATGAACAGCAGAGCAATTTCTACCCCAACATAGAATTTCATGTATAAGGACTGGCTAGGAGCTTACAATACATTTGTATTCTTATTATTGTCGTCATACTTTTGTAGAGCACCTCCAAAGTACAAAATGAAAACTGAACAGTTTGTGGTAGCCTGAGATGTTGAGAATTCTGCCAGTCTTCAGCCACTATTTTCTCCAAACATTCATTTTGTCTTATTTTAACTCCAGAGTGTCCTCTTTTTCCTTTCTCAGTAGGTTACACAGCAAATACCTCAGTGGTTCCAGTACCCTCAAAGCAATTTATCTCCAAACCACTGACTGTCTCCTGAGCACCTGCCAGAGGATCCAGCTTAATTGAAGAGCAATGCCATTAACCTCTTAATACAAAGAGAAAAACGTATCATTTCTATAATGGAGTTTAAGGACTCTTTGATTAGCTTACAAACATCTAATTTCCTCTGGTTAGTACTACAGCAGGTTTTAGGATTACAATAAAACTTTCTATCATTTTCCTGACTTCAGTAAAACTACAGTGATATTCTAGAGACTATAATATTTAGGTACATTAAGTGGAGTTTAGAGACATGTTTAGCCTAAATATACTATTTCTTATAGTCGGGGTTCACTTATTTTTCTGGTTGATTGAACTTTGACTTTTTGAAAAGGAAGTGATCTATTTATTTACATCAAAACAAAAGGATTTGCTAGAATTATTATATATGGTAAGACCTATTAGGAATTAAGACCAACCCTTTAAGTTTTGAAGTATAGTATAATATATCATTAGCTATAATTAATGTATATAATTAACCTAACATATAATTAACCTTGGTTGTTGCTTACTGCCCTCCAATGTTACTGAAACCAGCAACTAACTTAAGAGGATTAGCACTCCCAGAATCAGAGGTACCTCTAGTTGTAACAACTAAGAAATAAAAAAAATTTTGAAACTATAAAGTGTAACTCTATTACCTAAAGAGACTCTCTCTCTCTCTCTCTTTCTCTCTCCTCCCCCTCTCTTTTTTGATTATGTTTTTATTTATGTTTTTATTGATTTTTAGAGAAAGAGAAACATCGTGGGGTTGCCTCTCATGCGCTCCCCAGGGGGTCAAACAGCAACCTGGGCATGTGCCCTGACCAGGAATTGAATAAGCGGATGCTTACCCAACTGAGCCACACAAGCCAGGGCATCTTCTTTTTTGTCCCCCTGCCCCACCATGACCCTCGCTTTCAGCAACCATCACCTTGTTGTGTATATCTATGGGTCTGTTTCTGTGGAGTTTTTTTGTTTATTCATTTGTTTTGCTTTTTTAGAGTCCACATACAAGTGAAGCCATACAATATTAATCTCTCTGTGTCTGACTTATTTCACTTAGCATAATACTCTCCAGGTCCTTCCATCTTGTCACAAATGGCAAGATTTCATTCTGTTTTATTACTGAATAATATTCCATTGTATATATAGCACATCTTTATCCATTCATCTGTTAATGAACATCTAGTAATGGTGCAGTGAACATAGGGGTACATATATCTTTTCAAGTTAGAGTTTTTTGTTTTCTTTGGATAAATACCCAAAAGTGAAATTGCTGGATCATGTGGTAGATGTTTTTATTTTTTGAGGAATATCCATACTCTTTTCAATTTTGCACCAATTTGCAATCCCACCAACAGTGCATGAGGGGGTTCTCTTTCTCCACAGCCTCACCAGCACTTGTTAGTTGTTGATTTGTTAATGATAGCCATTCTGATAGGTGTGAGGTGATATCTCAGTGTGGTTTTAATTTACGTTTCCCTGATATTAGTGGTGGTCAGCATCTTTCTATATGTCTGTGGGCCATCTGTATGTCTGCTTTGGAGAAATGTCTATTCGGCCCTCTGCCCGTTTTTTAATCCGATTGTTTTTCAGCATTAATTTGTATGAGTTCCTTATATATTTTGGGTATTAACCCCTTACTGAATGTATCATTGGTGAATATATTCCCTCACTTGGTAGGTTGTCTTTTCATTTTGTTGATGGTTTTTTTTCTCTGTGCAAAAACTTTTTAGTTTGATATAGTCCCATTTATTTTTTTCTTTTGTTGGCCTGGCCTGAGGAGACATATCCAAATATCAATATCAATATCCAAAAAGATATAGCTAAGAGTAATGTCAAAGAGTTTTACGCTTATATTTTCTTCTAGGAGTTTCATGGTTTCTGGTCTTACAAGTAAGTCTTTAATCCATTTTGAGTTTATTGTGTATATGATGTAAGAAAGTGGTTCAATTTTATTCTTTTACATGTTATTTGTCTAGTTTTTCCAGCATCACTTACTGAAGAGACTGTGTTTATCCCATTGTATATCCTTGCCTCCATTGTTATAGATTACTTGACCATATAAAGTGAGGATTTATTTTGGGGCTCTCTATTCTATTCAGTTGATCTATATATCTGCTTTTATGCCAGTACCATACTGTGTTGATTATTGTAACTTTGTAATATAGTTTGATATCAGGGCACCTCATAACTCCTCAAGGTTCTTCCTCAAGAAGATTCCCTTGGCTAATTGAGGTCTTTTGTGGATCTGTATAAATTTTAGGATTAGTTCTAATTCTGAGAAGAATTCCTTTGATATTTTAAAAGGGATTTCATTGAATCTGCATATTTCTTTAGGTAGTAAGGACATTTTAACAGTATTGATCCTTCCAATCTATGACCAAGGTATGTCCTTCTTTTTATTTATATCTTCAGTTTCTTTCTTCAATGACTTACAGTTTTTGTAGTACAGGTCTTTCACCTCTTTGGTTAAATTTATTCCTAGGTATTTTATGCTTTTTTATTCAGTTGTACATGGGATAGTTTTCTTAATTTCTCCTTCTAATCATTTATTATGGTGTATAGAAATGCAACAGATTTCTGTAGATTGATTCTGTATCCTGCAACTTTACTGAATTTATTAGTTCCAATAGTTGTTTGTTTTGTTTCTTTGTGGAGTCTCCAGGGTTTACTATCTATAGTATCCTGCCAATTCTGAGAGTTTTACTTCTTCCTTTCAGATTTGAATGCCTTTTATCTATTTTTCTTGTCTGATTGCCATGGAGGGAACTTCCAGTTTACGTTGAATAGAAGTGGTGATAGTGGGCATGATTATCTTGTTCCTGATCTTAGAGGAAAGGCTTTTGGTTTTTTCCACCATTGAGTATGATGTTAGCTGTGGGTTTGTCATATATAGCCTTTAGTATATTGAGATATGTTCCCTCTATACCCACCATGTTAAAAGTTTTTATCATGAAAGAGTGTTGAATTTTGTCAATGTATAGTTGAATCTGGTTGGCTAATATTTTGTTAAGAATTTTCCACCTAAGGCCCTGGCCGGTTTGGCTCAGCAGTTGGAGCGTCGGCCAGCGGTACAGAGAGACCCGGGTTCGGTTCCCGCTAAGGGCACGTACCTCGGTTGCAGTTTGTCCCCGGCCCTGGTTGGTCGTGCGGGTGGCAGCCACTCGATGTGTCCCTTCACATCGATGTTTCTCTCTCTCTCTTCCTCTCTCTCCCTCCCGCTCTATCTGAACAAAAAATGGAAAAATGTCCTCGAGTGAGGATAAGAAAAAAAAAAAAAAGAATTTTCCACCTAAGTTCATCAAGGATATTGGCCTGTAATTTTTTTTTTTTTTTTTTTTTTTTTTTTATCCTCACCCGAGGACATTTTCCCATTTTTTTGTTCAGGTAGAGTGGGAGGGAGAGAGAGGAACAGAGAGAGAGAGAGAGAGAGAGAGAGAGAGAGATAAACATCGACATGAAAGGGACACATCGAGTGGTCGCCATCCACACGAACCAACCAGGGCCGGGGACAAACTGCAACCGAGGTACAGGCCCTTTACGGGAACCGAACCCGGGTCTCTCTGGACCGCAGGCCGACGCTCGAACCGCTGAGCCAAACCGGCCAAGGCATTTTTTAAATGTCTTTGTCTGATTTTGTTATCAGGTAATGCTGCTTCACAGAATGAGTTTGGAAAAGTTCCTTCCTCTTA